TTTTTTTTTTTTTTTCCTTCCCTCCTGCTCTTTCTCCCGCTCCATCACCCCTCCCCTCTTTTCACATCAAACACTAATGTTTCCTTCAAATTCCTTTTCCTCTCCATCTGCCAACTTTGACATCACAGGAAATTACGCTCAGAATTGGCGGCACTGTTTTTTTCTTTTTTCTTTTTTTTCCTCTCTCCCCTCCACCACCACCACCTCCAACTTCATTCCACTTCCCAAACAGACGCTTTTCTCGTGTGGCCTGTCATCCCTAAAGACACACGCCTCCTTTTCCTACTTCCTCCTCTTCCTCCTCTTTTTTTTTTTTCCCCTTCTCCTGATGTATTTGTTCTGGCTCCCATCACTCCACACGTGCACACTTCTCCTCCACGTGCACGCTCAGCCTCTCTTGACACACTGTCTCTCACAAACATGCATGGAGACGCAGCGTGACGCTAACTACACCTAATGCAAGTTCTGGGCTTATTTGCTGGAGGCTGGTAGGAGAGGAGAGGATGTGTTTTTTTTCCCTCTCTCTCTGAGATCAACAGTGAGGCTGGCGTCTGCGCTTGCCTCCTATAGCTGGATTAAGTAAAAGAGGCCATGAGCAGAGTACTTAATTAGTCGTGAATTGCAGTGTTAGGAATGCGTGTATGAGTGAATGCATGTGTGTGGTGGAAGAGGCTGAGCAGGTAAACAAGGTCCCCCCCAAGAAACGGTGACTCAACCTGGATTCGAGGGTTCAGCCACAGCCTCCGGGTGATGCACACACATACACAGCGAGCACATTTACATGAACACCCTATCCACTGTGAGCGACCAGATTGAGATAATAGTTCAGTCAATGTGTTTGTATGAATTATAAGAGAAGTCTTTGTAAACCGCTCTCAGCTTCTCACCTCTCCCGTGCATGTGTGCGCGTCTGAGCGGCGTGTAGGTGGAAGTGTGTTTATGCCACTATGCGGATAGTACATCTTTTATATTGCAGCTGTATGTTTTAAGGTGCAAACAAATAAATAAGAAATTAGCTGAGATGACGTGCTCCGTGGGTACGCACCAAGTAATATTATATAATGTGGATTATATTTACTGCAAAATACAATGTTACAGTCTTGCCCATTCAAATTCCCACTACTACTACTGCTGCTGCTACTGTTTATAATAATAATAATAGTGAAAAAACAGATTTCCTTACATGCAACTAGTGGAATCTTTCCATGCACATAGTTTGGGTTTTATTCATTCATACATCAAACATATGTCCTTGTATTCTGAATAATCGACTAACAGTGTTATCAGTAGTAATCACTGTTATTCAGCAAAAACTGAAATTTAATGTGATTATAGTGTATTTTTCTATATTTTGGGACAATCTTGTGCTTTTATCAGTTAGGGATAGAACACAGGTGACATAAATCAGATGAGAAATGAGAGCTACTTCGCTAAAAACAGAAGGATTTTAACCCCTAAAGCACACGATACCCTGTGTCTCAACACTGCGAGCACCATTATTGTGCTGTGGTGGCAGCAGCAGAAGTGTCAGACGATTTAAATCCAGCAGAAAAACAAATAAAGACTAACTAAATATGAGCATGTTTCAGTGACAATGTAAGCGTTTCTCTAATGTGGGTGATCTTACTCTTCGCTCCACAAATGGAATACATGAAATAATTGCAGTGCTGCTCTAATCAGGTGCAATCACATGATTGTAAGTGCGCCAGTTTTGACACTATAGTCAAATATGTGAGACTTATGTGAAGGATAGAGGTGAGTGGCTGCACACATCCAATAATTTCAGTGGATGAGAAATACTGGAGTTCTCATTTGAAATGAGTGAAGCTTAATTTTAGTGGGATTTAATCATAGTAATGAAAGAAGACCTTTTGTTCCACTGTTGAAACCCCTACACACACACACACACACACACACACACACACACACACACATATAGATACAGACACATATACAGTCGCTCATTCCAGGGGAAATCACAGAGGTAGATGTACACACATATCTTTGTTGACGTCACGTTGCCTGGCAACATCCCAGCATGTTTGGCTGTGACAAGCGGAGGTCTCAGCCCTGAAGTGCGATGCATTATGGGGATTGTGTGTGCCGCGTCTTACATCACCCACAATCCCCCTCGCCGGTTGCAGCTGCAGTCAGGATTGTTCCGTGCAGCTGATACTGGGATAGTTTTGCAACATCTGGGCTTAAGAAAGAGGGTGGGGTGACGGATTTCTCCCTCTTCAGACACAGCTGCAATCCCGTCCGTCGCAAACCGCGTTCGGTGCATCTTTTGATATGTAATTAACAGTCACTTTAAGAACTGACGCGCTGTATGTTTTGCAGTACACATCTGGAGCGTTCATTTTTTTTTTAGCCCTCCCCGCTCCTCCCTGATTAGACCCCTGACCGCTTTTCTGTAGGTGAGGCTCATTACGCTCATCTGAGAGCGTGGAATTAAACCTCCTCCTCCGAACTCATTACTGTGAGCTAGATTTCACCGGCTGCAGATAGGCAATGCGGTGGTGCTGCTTTTAAAGCCACAGCCAGATAATTAGAAACTTTAGAAGCGCAGTTCCCATGGCTATAGCCAGAGTGAACAACTAATTCTATTTGAACTAATTACATTCCATAACGCTAGGCAGTGATTGCTACCCCAACCACAGCCTCCCCTATGTAATACGCCAGAGGATTTCATCACAAAACAGCACCAGGGATGTATTTTTGTGCGCGTGTGACTGACTGTACGTCATTATGCATCGGCATTACTCTCCATGCGCAGCGTGTCTTCACATATACACCCCCGCTCGCTCCCAATTGTGTGTTTTTCATCCTGCGAAACCTCTGATTGAGCTCAGTAAGGCTCATTTTGGGAGTGTGTTGACATCATCAAAATGCGTCAGAGGAGGTTCAGACCCGCAGTAATGAAGTCAGAGATGAGGTCTTCCCTGTTAGGAGTACAGAACACGGTATTTGTCTTACTACGAGGATCTTCCAAAGACACAATTATTAAAAATCGTCAAAACTGATGCAACATAGAGCCAACGCAGGGCATATAGTGCAGATAAACCCTGTGAACCTCAAGCAGTTTCTGGGCATTTTTATGCTCTTGTCACATATTTACTGACTGTGGGCTCATTTTTTACTGCAATATAAAGTCCTGCACCTAAAAAACAGCACAACCATGAGCTAGAAGCAGAGAGATCCCAAAAACGGAGGATGACATAGCTGGAATGTCATATTTCATTAAAAGATGAAATTATTTATCATCCAAAAATTTAAAAAACTGCACACATACAGCATTTTTCCAACTGCCCACAGGTATTACCAACACTGCAAAAAAAGCTAAATCTACTGATATTTTTCTACGCAAACACAGCCTGCAGTTCATCTGAAACGTTCCTGAATTTTTGTCACGTAACTGTGAGTTGCAGCTGAGTCACTCTTGGCTTCACAGTTGCACCGAGGAGCACAGAGTTTATTTCGTTTAACTGATTTTTGGTGAATTTTCAATCATGTAGAATAAAATGATTTCGACGTGTCACAATTCTAAGCTTAGATTTGGTTTATTTCCTCCAAACCGAAACGCACGTCACACACGATTAGTTCAATGACCATCGAAAAAGTTGAAAATCTGACAATTCCTTGTGTTTCTGGCTGTGATAAAAGGTGTAGTTTTGGCAATTTAAAAAAAAAAAACTTTCAACTTGTCGGCGTGTTTTGGGGTTCAGAGGGTTGAGCTCCAAAATAACTGGTTCCCACCAGAGATGCTTTATTTTGTCAGACTTGAGAAAGCTCCAACACACCCTCACGGAGCCCGAGTCCCCCCGTAATGAACAAACCGACTTCTCAGTATGCCCATTTGTTAACGTCTTCTCCATCTGCACCGTGTTGTCTTTAGAAAAAATGCACATTTTCGCCGCGCGATGTGAAAGAATGTGTGCCTAAGCGCATCTTTTTCGCTGCTACATGTACACACATTTGTACAATATTTTTAGACAACACAGGAAGTCTGTCTGTCAGTCCATATGCGTTTCTCTCCACCTCCTCCTCCTTCTTCTTCTTCTTCTTCTCTCCCTCTCTCTGTCTGTCTTTTTGTGGTCTTGCTATGTGTGGAAGCTGACTTGCCCCAGTGAGAGGTGTTCCAAGTCCAGACCAGGCTGACTAAATATAGCAGGCAGCGACAGTAGGGAACACTGTGCTCCCGCCTCCCCTCTCTTCTCTCGCCGTGGCGCTCAGTGCTGCTGTTTCACAACAAACTGCACTGATGAGACTAAATTGTCATCCACACACACACACAAGAAGTTCACTTTCTGCCAGAAATGTGGGGCACATGTATCATCCACACAAACACAAACATAAAGCAGACGCAGATTAATACACATGCATACTTTCCCCTCTATCGCTCCCTTCGCACACACACACACACCCTCCCAGTCCAAATGGGATTTACTTAAGACTCAATAAAGCAGACAGAAGCACTATTGTCTCCAACACAGACCTATTGTGCTGCACAGAGCGACTGTGACGTGGGCCGACTGCGCCGCGTCTATGTTTACTACACGGGGACGCAGAAATCAAAACGAGCGCATACAGAGGGGGATGTAGAAATCTATAATCAAGTGCATAAAGGCACAATCAAGCAAGCATAAAGAATGCTTACACACATTCCACGCATACCACACACACACACACACATCAAACCCATCTCGCTCCAGTGGGAGTCTGACGGGAACTGAGTGATGAACAGGAGTGACACCACCACATGCCAGGGTGTGAGATGTGCTGCCTGGTATTTTAGGCTGCGTCTCAAATTGAACATGCCAAGCCCTCGGGGTAAAAAAAAAAAAAGAAAAAAATCGCTGGAGAATGTTCATGACGAGAAGCAAATGTCCCACCGCAATATCGCTCAGAATACCAGCTACAATATCTGGAACGGCACAGCAGAGGGGGCTGACTCATTCATGAGGTGCAGTGGAGGGTTTTTTTTTGGTGGGTTGACGTACCTGCTGTTGGGGATACTGCATCCCGCCCATGCCCATTTGGCCCCGCCCCTGCATGCTCATTGGATACCGATGCGGAGGAGGCGACGTGTATGGCTGGCTGGGGGGGTAAGGTCCGCTCCCTGGCTGCTGCGGGCCGGAGTAGGGATTGCTGGCCATGCCGTACAGCTGCGAGCGCTTCATAGCCATGAAGTCCATGGAGGACACCTGTGGGAGGCGAGCAGAAGAAGGGGGACGCGTCTTCAGCATTTTTTCCTCTTACTCGCTAATATTTCACATCCATTCACGACATTGTGTCGGGCTGAGAGGCATTCGAATGAATTCATCCGCCATCTGCCAAGTTGGAACCCCTAACTGAAGTCCACTTAGTGCACACACTCTAAACCGCAGCCACCACTGATTTATTCTGTAATTGCACAACGAGTGGAAGCTTTAAATTAATGTCTGCACATCATAAATGAGCAACAAATGGAATTAAGTAAGCAAAGATGTTTATTGCGCGGCCATCGAGAGCAAAACTTTTTGCTGGAGGAGGGCCAGAGTGAAATGATTTAATTAAAACCTAAAGCTTGTATCTTTGTTTTAATGTCTGAAAGGGGTTTAAAAAGTGTTGTAAATGTTGTTTAAAGCGATGGGAAGCAATGGCAATAAAAAGCCCCATGGCCTTGTTCCCACAACCACAGCCCAGCGGTGCCAATAATCACCGTGCAGCGCTCCCTTTCTCCCTGGCAGACGCCCTGATCGCTGTTCTGTTATGGAAATAGTTTATACTTTTAGAAAAAAGAAGGAGGTGAAGGTTGAGCGCGTGGCAGGAACCCAAACACTACAATTGTGACGAGGCATTTTAAGGTTTGAGGGAATTCAGGGCAGTACCCAAAAAGTCACACCTGGGGAACTGGCTTCCTATATGAACACAGGAAAAAAATCAAAGGGAAGAAAGAGAATGTGTCAAGGGCAATTTATTCCATTGTAAGTATTTCAGAGCCATTTTAGGGGTTGTTTGGGGTCTCAGTGAGCCATTGGAAAATTCCGGTACAGTGCGTCGGGCTAATGCTAATCCGTCACCCGTAGCGGCGTGTTTGTCTGTCTGCCGGGCAGATAATGTGGAGTTCTTCTATCTTCCCTCCTCTCCTCTCATGCTTTCTCCCTTTTGTCTCCGCCGTGTAGGATCATGAGTGATTTATGACATTTTGTTCCTACTGTTTCTTACACACACACACACTTTCGCTTCTCCTCTCTCATCTCCAACTAACTGCCCCCCCCCTCCTCTTACTCCTCCATCACCACCACCACCAAACTCCCTCCTCAGTTCCCTCCCTTCTCCCCAACTCAATATCACCTCGTCTAGTGTGGAGGAGAAATTGCCGCTGCCTCATATTGCCAGGCTAATATCAAGAAGACATGTCAGGGGATGGGAGCACTTTATTCAGCGGGTTACGTGCAGACAGTTACGGCGCTCTAACTTTAAAGTGGTTTCGTCTACTGAGGCATGTGCGTGGAGTAGTTTGGACTGTTTCACTGGGTATGGAAGAGAGAGAGAGAGAGAGAGGGAAAAAAATGAGTGTTTGGGCAGTGAGAGAGATGGAGGAAGAAAGCCGGCGAGTGAGGGATGAGTGCTCTTGAGTGTCTAAAGTTATTTCACAGCTTGCGAGTGTATGTGAGCATGTGTGAGGAGAAGGAGTTATTCTGCGAAGACTCACGTCGTAAGAGCGTAATCCTGAGGACGAATACAAAAAAAAGAAAATTCTGACATTTGTGTATGTCGTAGATTTCAGAGGAGGGGATTCCCTCTTGATGTTTAGAACATTTGCGAGGTGCAACAACGCCTCCGATGGGGTTTGTCTTTTCTCTAATGCTTTGAATGTGCAGAAAGTTTTGAAATTAAGCACAAACGTAGGATCTATGTAAGTCCAGCAGGGGTTTCAAAATGAATTAATCTATCAGCGACGTGACGAGGCGCCTCGTTTAAACGGGTTACAACCCCCCAAACGAAAGGCACAAAAGAGTAAATCATGTCTGCGTTGACTCAGCAGGGAGATGAAAGTTGGTCCACAGGAGAACAAGTGTTTGAAAGAAATACAGGATATCTACCCTTTCTGTTCTCCTTTACATAAATAAAGACATTTCCACCATGAATTGATGCAGAAAAGGCAGATATTGGTGCATAAAAATTCAAATTGGTGCAGGAAATGGAATGCTTGATGCACAGACCCCGGAATTAACATTCAAATTGAATCTACGCTCAAGTTATGTGTGTGTGTGTGTGTGTTAATACGCAGTTTACTGATTTTCACTTTGTCCTCCTTCATGTGTGAAACAACTAATAAGTCAATAATGACCTTTACTTTGGTGGCTAAACTCTAAAATGGAATGAAACCAAAACGATTGGCAGCCAATTGTCAGTCAAACTGGTTTCAAAATGTCTCTGATGGCAGAAAATCGTCAGGATTTTTTTTTTTTGAAACGACGACAGACTGAACTCAAAGTTCGAGAAGCTAAATTTGCCCCAGACTGCATCTTTTTTTTCAGAGAGAAAAAATCCGCCTTTGTTTCTCGTTGCTCGGCAAGACAATGAAGAGCATGACTGAACAGGAACAGGAGCGAGCTAATAACTTAATTCAGAATGCAACTAGAGCAGAGTTAAACCTTAAGTGCATCTCAACTGTGCAATATAACGGAGTTAAACCAAACCGAGCATCAAAGCGGAGGTTTGTTTTCGCTATTTCTGATGTGCTCTCATTGATGCTGGTCATATGTTTCTAATGTAGCGATAATGGTGTTTTTCGCTAGAGTGGAGGGCAGCACATGACCTGCTCAAATGTTTGTACACCCACGACACACCGCCAGCCAGATATACACACACATACACACACACACGCATAGGTCCACGAAGCAATATTTGCAGTAAAAGGGCGACGCTCTCGAGTTTCTGAAAATCCAGGGCACTGTGCCACTCGTGATATGGGACACACACACCCCCCCCTCCTCCCCAACTCCATCCAGTTCACCAATCCATCTCAAGAGGTCCTCCGTTTGCCAAAAATGCTGAGTGCAACACAAGTAAATCCCCTCACACGGCTGCCAAGTGCACACACATGCTTGCAAAAAAACATTAAATGCTGCACTTAGGAAGGTACTGAACACAGAAAACAACCTCAGAGTTTTGGGAGTGGAGGAGTGGACACTCGATTAAACACACATTTTAGCAGAAGACTCTGCTAGTGGCTCTTTCTGCTCTCGCTGCATCTCTTTCATCTCTCTGCTGCTTCCTCGTAACACTTATGGGGGGGAATTCTTAAATAAAAAAAAAACAGCCGTAATCAAATTACACTGGTGTATCTTCCGCACGTGGCTTCGTCCACACCTGTCTACGGAGGCGACAAAAAAATAAAATAAATACAAGAATTCTCCCCAAATGGAGCCTCAAATCTGCTCTCATGACAAGTTCCACTAAATGAGATTTCAGCCCACTGCAGCCTTTTTCCTCGAGATATGCCCACCGTTTCCCTCACACCACCAGGCACACACAAAAAAACCACAACAATTCCTGACAAATTGAAACGTTATTTTTTTTCTTCTCTCTCCCTCCCTCCCCTCAGAGAAATGACTGTACTTAGGAAAAAAAATTATGAATATGACACGAAGTGAATCGTGTTTGTGCCAGGAGGGACGGCAGATAAAAAACTAGAGGGAATACACAGAAATTGTTTTTTATTTTCTTCAAATGTGTTTTTCACTTTTGTTCATCTGGGCATGCCATTCAATGGAGGAGGAGGGAGAGGAGGCATGGGAGACAATAGTAATTCAACTGCTAAATTTAAAATTCAATTTATGAACTCCTCTCCAGCGTTCTGACTCTCGTGAGCTCTTTTTTTTTTCTTTTTTTTTTTCCACGCAAAACAAAGCCATTAAAACAGAACATGGGTGAAATTACTGTGGGGTGAAACCTGCTAAATTGCTTTTCTGAGCTCAATCGACAATATTTTTATGTTGCGAAAATGATTTTACTCCTTCTCGCTTTAATGTGCTAAGTTGTTAATCAGAAAGAGACAAAATGCTCGACACAAAAGGCTCGGGTATGCGGTTTGTGAGACACACACTGGGATCAAACAAACATAAAACAATATTGGTAAATGGTTATTATTCCAATTCCATTTTGAATGAAGGAATTATTTGGAAAAAAAGAGAGAAAAAAACCCTCTGATTTATCATCCATGGTGAATGTTGGAGCAGCTCTGACACACACATGCGGGTCCCTGCGGCTATGGTTACCCTTGTCCTTCACACTAGCTGACCAAATCATCACCTGTCTGCATCAGCCCTAAATTTTAGTTATTTACAATCCGCGCACACGGTGGAAAAAGTAACAGAGACAGGCTTCAGCTCAGTACTCTACTGCCTTCAGCGTTGTAGTTTTTTTTTTTTCCTTCTCCTGAATAGCGCTGCGGTTTCTATACAACCAACAATGCAATAAAAGATGTTCCTTCATATGTTCTTTATGGCCTACAAGCTGCTTTATTGAGCGACAGCTACTTCAGAAATTGTTCGAACCTCAAAAGAGCAATTCACTGAACTATTATGAGCCCTTATATCACCTGGTGGTTTAACGCCGTCCTCGACAACAAGTTTTTCCTGGTTTCTATAGAGGCCCAGGTAACTACTGGCCGCGGGAGGATGTTGGTGAAAGAAAGAGGATTCATATTTTCAGCCATTAAAGCGCAAAAGACCTATGAGGCACTCACACGGCGCAAATTAGTGCCACGTGAAGATATCACCTTATAAAGACACATCAAACCCGATTGTGTATGAAAATTAGCCCCAAGATGCCTTTTTGGTATTGATTATGTTCTCTTTTTCCTTGAAAGGACTCGTGCAGAATGGTGGCTTTAATTCCTGTGTAATGAAACCATTTTAGCCTGTGTGTATTTGTGAGGAGAAACAAATAAGGATAATTATTATCAACGGATCCTCTTTATCCTCTGTGCCGCGTCCGCCTCTGGAGAATCAACATGCTGCAGCCAGAGCCGGCTGGTCTGCTGGGACAATCAGCCTTGTCTTTTATGTTATTTATTTGCAGCATGCAGCAGAGCACTCTCCAGTTCCTATTACACTGCGGGGCCCGGCGATGCCTCGGCCTCCAGAACAAAGCTCCACGTTTCAGGCTGTGCATTTGGGCCCTCAGTTTCACACAGGAAAAAAAAAAAGAA